CTCTCTCTCTCTCTCTCTCTCTCTCTCTCTCTCTCTCTCTCTCTCTCTCTCATGTCGTATTAATCAAGGAACAACACCCAAATCGTGTCCTCTTTTTTGCCATCACGGTGTTCACAAAGCACGTTATAAAATTTAGACTGAAACCTTCTTTCAAGATTAACTAGTAAATCTAATAATGAAACAAATAATAATATTTCGTCAATCAAAAACTGATTTTGACCTTGCACTTCCAAGGAGGGAGAGAAGTTATAGCCCTTGTGTTCGTGTGTAGCTGATAAAGAGAGTAAAGTAACAGAATCTATATGAAGGAACCCGATCACAATTCACAATGGCACAGTTTGTAGCACATAGCAACACTTTTCTTTTACCTAAGGCGGTGTCCGCATCTGCATATTATAGAGTATCAGTGTTACAATAGTTTGGGTGTTTTTTTTTTACTTTTTCAAAAAAAGCTCTGCTTGTCTCTTTCAACAAAAGAGGAACAAGAAAAGTAAAACAGAAAGAGAAGGAAAGTGCACTGACAGCTGTTTAACTGGTTTAAAATTGTTTTGCTATAGTGTCGAGCTTGAATTGCGTAGAGTGTGATGCTTTGGGATTTCTCCTTTTCCATTATTCTAAGCAACTTATCAGTCCTTCGTTTACCTCCCACCTATGTTGTTTAACTGTCAACACTTTCATAAAAATCATATTATTGCTTCTCCCTATACAAGAGTATGCAAATCGTAGGTCCCTAAAGATGCATAAATAATAGTATTTGTTTTATGTAAGCAGAATTCATGCTCCGTGTTAAATGTCCTTCAGAAATGCTGTTTAAAAGTTTGGCATTTAAAAAAGAAAATGATGTTTGAACTACGTAAAGATGCCTTATCGGTTGTCGCAAAGGACATTCCAGTGGTTCCCGCGTGAACTTTGTTAGTTTTGAAGCACTGATCTCGAATATGACATTTTGTTCCCCCTCAGAATTTATTTTTTAATTTAATTTAATTTATTTTTTTATTTTTTGTATTTAGCTGTCCTTGAGCTAGGCCTATGGCTGATGAGTGACCACTCGACCCGACTCAAATGCCGTATTTCAAACGACCCGTCTGGCTTGGTGGACACACTCAAATGGAATTCCCACTGAAACTAGTCTTCCAATTCAACAGGCGTACGCGTTTTCATCCCTATCTTCCTCTCACATTTCGTTTTCGTCCCTCTTTCTTCAGACGTGATTTTGTCCTTTTTTGCCTCACTTTTGCAATAACACACACACACAC